ACTATGAACTTTGAACAGAATATTTCCAGCACATAAAGCAGTAATTCAAGCAGAACTCAAGTTACACCGTTGCACATTAAGAAGGTCAAAGGTTTTGAATCTAGTTATTCAATAGTAACGTCACACCGCAGGAATCTTAATACAAGACCTAATACAAACGTATATTAAAACCCTATTTGCAAAAATTCGCGATACATCTGCTTCTTCCAAAAGGCCCTAACTACATTTTCCTCTCTAGATTCAAGATAGGCCTAATTCCCTTTGAATCTAGTCAGAAATTCTTAATCATTCCGATTTCCTTCAAAAATTATCCAGAACCCAGATCACCCATTACACAATTGTCTGCCCCAGCGTCGCTACTGCATTACTTCCTTGCTTCATTATCGTCATTTTTTCTTCCTTTCTCTGCTCGTACCTTTTTTCATCTTTCTTGACATTTGATCTTAGTATTTCTTACGACCTGGTCCTTGATCCCGCTAATATCACCCCTTCCGACATTAAGGCAGCTTTTAATTTATAAGTACTTTATTTTCTTTAAGAATATGGCGTTTCTTCTATAATTGTTATATTATTTCTATTTTGTGCATTTTAAAAGATACTGCTAGCGAATGCTGAAGTAGGCCTACATTTCGTACATCAACCTATGTGGTAGTCAAAAACGACGGTAAAAGTTAGGCCTTTCCCCCTTAATTGATGTGAAATATGGATTGATATTCACTTCGGGTGGTAATCTTTCAGATTTTTTAGACAGGTTTCGAATCCTTGAATTTTTTCGAGATCACCGGTTTTGCCTAATTCTGAATTATCAAATATAGATAACCAATTGCTAGGGAGTCTACTGGCAGGAGAAAAAAAACTTCTTATGTTGGAAAATTTCATACCATTTTTACACTGCATGCAACATTCCGGACACAACCCGAATTTTGCAATACCCGGGCTAGAAACTTCCGAGTTGTGGTTGGTAACGTCAAAAAATACAACCCGGGTTGCTGAACATCCCGGGTTCAATGTGCGGGACGCATTCAGCGTTGGACAACCTAGGTGTAACAACCGATAATGTACAAACGACGTATAATGTAAAAAAAATGGTTAACGCATAAATGTTAAAAGGTTTGACGCTTAATGTAAAAAAAATAACGCATAGGCCAAATGTAAAAATCAACGCATAATGTAAAAAAAAAATAGCTAACGCATAATGTAAAAACCTATCAACGCATAAAATAACTCTTCTCCCTTCCTCACGCCTGTTAATTTAACCTACTAATCAATGATACCTTCCTGCCTCTCGGTTTTATCTCAGAGCTTCTTCTTATGGACAAATTGTAAACAATTAGGCCTACTAAATGTACCTCCACGCCCATTGACTCTAGCTAAATAATTCATTGGGGAAAAGCACGATGGAAACGATAGAAACACTTAAGTCATAATGATCGATGTATAAAACCAAGATAGCGACATGTAAACCTAGTTTAAACTAAGGTCACATTAAAATAAACGCAGGTTTCAATATTATGGAAGACCGTTTGTAACGTGGAAAAAACAAAGGAGAATATTAGACATACGGATAGATGATGTGGGTCATACTTATTTCTCTTCAAAATTCCACAAAATTCCCCCCACCCCAAAAAATAAACAATAATTGCTGTGTATAAATAACGGGGGGAAAAAACAGATCAATATTGGTTCCAAAAATGTCTAGAAAGGCCTGGCTAATTATTTTATTTATGTAGTTTTAGAAGTTAACGCACAAATCGGATAAAATACTATACTTTTTATGAGCAAAAAAGAGTGATGCAGAAACACCTCAAGCCCAGCAAACAAACACAAACGTTGTTATAACGTTCGCCAACGTTGTGGTTAAGTATGTCACAAATTAACGTTCACACACCGTTGTAAGAATGTTCAAACATTGTGATGTTGTGAAATTAGGATTAAAGTACGTACATATGTTTCTACAAAATAACGTTCTAAAATGGCGCATTAGAGTTTTCTTCAGGCAATCGTCAGGGAAACCTGTTGATACTGCGTTCTGATTAGTCAAATCTTTACCTGTTGAAAACTGTTGATTTTTTTTTAGTTATTCATTACCTGTTATGTAACTGGCTAGAAACAAGTACCTGTTACAACTTGTTAATTGACATAATATGGAGGCTGCTGACGAGGTTATATTACAGTAAAAAAAAATCAATTTTAGCATGCAAACTGTTAGAAAATAATGCAAAATTTGCCAGTTGTAAATCACGACACTCAGGTACATTAAAAGAAACAAAATAAAATGGTACTTTTGTGTATGTAATCATTCCTATTTTACCTGTTTAATCCTGTTAAAACCTATTCAAGCTACCAATCGAATTGTTTCATTTGAAACCCGTTGGCAAATTCTCCGATTTCAAAGTTTTACGGGTAGCACTGGAGATTTATCAGAAAGAACGACACAGTATATTTGCAAGAAGTAAGTGTGTAGCCCACATAGATGATTTAAAGGCAAATTCCAGAGAAATTAAGGTACGCGTAGATCATGTAAGCACGGCGGTTCTTAAAAGTGTCGGAAAAAAATCAGACTGATTTATAGAGATCTTTCCAGAGCGTGAACCAGAAGAAGTCCCTTTAAAAATAGCTAGACAACAGAACTTCTATTGTTGTATGGACACTTTTCTGGGCCACCACGTAGTGGGGTTAGATCTTCGCCTTAGATCTCAGATCTTGTTTTTGCTAGAGATGAGGCTATTTAGCTGATAGTTATGTTGACCATCGTTGATCTGCAGCGAATAACTTGCTCTGAAATAATTTTTCTAAACCTGCATCCAGAAGCATGTTCTGGATACAAGCACATCTACTCCTTCACTGTATGCTTTGTTAATACACCCTGACACCGTGATATTTTGATATGTCAATTTTTATATTTTCAAATGTCTCAATGTGTGTAAAAAGAACCTGCACATACGCCTAGGTGGTTGGGGATACCCGTTCAGATTATACAAAGGTGAATGTCAAGGTCAAACCTATGAGAAATATGAAACTGCTCTGATTTTTTATTGTGTAGCTAATATACTCATACTCATATCTGTGCTTTTGGGTATGTTTTCTATTGTTTTCAGAAAAAAAAAAAAAAAAGTGTTTTTTTTTTTTTTGTTTTTTTTTTTCAGTTTTTAACAAAAAAAAACGAGTTTTCCCAGATAAATTTTTTTTTTGTTTTTTTTTGTTTAATCTTTTTTTTTTAATCTCCTTTTTGTATAACATATCAAACTTAAAACAAAAAACATAGTTTGTCTTTATTCAAAACTTGCGCTTTTGTACCCTGTATCCATGTGAATTACCTTACTTTTTTTCAGGAACGAAAAAAAAAACAAACAAACAAACAAAATAAAAAACAGGATGCAAACTTTTTCCTCGACCCCATGCTGGGAGTGTGTGACGATGTGTGGCCTTTGGACAAGGTTCAAAATAGAAACTTGTTTTCATTTTATGGATAAAAAGACCCAAGTTTTTTTTTCTTTTTGGGGGAAAAACCAAAAGTTTTGTTTGTTAAAACTAAGTATTTGGAAAGAAAATTAAATCATACATTTTATCGTAAAATGCCAAGTTTTTACATTATGCGTTGATAGATTTTTACATTATATGTTAGACATGTTTTTACATTATGCGTCAAAAGTTTTTATATTATGCGTTAGCAAAATTTTTTACATTATGCGTCAAGCCTTTTTACATTATGCGTTAACCATTTTTTTTTTACGTTATGCGTCGTTTTTACATTAACAGTTGTTACGTCCGAGTGCATTCCGGAATCGCCAATGTAAACAACACCGAATTCAATTCCGGAGTTTGGCATTACCTGGCGCCTATCGCAGCTTTGGTCAGGTAGGCCTAAAGTTTGCTAGCAACGGGCTAGGCCTAGACACATTTAAACCACCTGCGCTCCAGTATAGACTTGATATCAAGACTGCTGCGTATAATTTTAAAACAGTGTAAAAGGGGTATCAGTTATCTGCGATAATTCGCAAGAAGATAATCATCGCAAATTTGCCCTATGAGCAAATATGATGAAGACCAGGGAACAGTGAGACACATGAGTAATTAAAATATAGATGCACAGCGAACACAATACGTTCTTATAACGTTTCGATTCAAATTACATTTATTGCACTAAGTGAACTTTGATGATGTATACCAAATAATATAATAATAAACATGCCATATATATTACAATTTTACAAAATATCTATCTTCTAAAAATGCATTACACAGTTTAAACAATAAACGTTTTGAAATATGTTACACTTGAACCTCCATGAGGTTGGTATACATTCATATTGTT